TAGGGGTGATGCTGGACTTTCCTTGCCTTCTGCCACTCCAGGCTACCTGGTACCAGCATCCCATCCTATTGGATGCTACAGTTCTGTGTGGCCCACACATCATTGTAGCCCTATAATTATACCGCTCACATGCTTCCCAGAGCTGCAAACATAAGGACCTTGAAAAGGACAAGCTCCCAATGAGGGCCCAGGGTTTATTAGAAAGCAAGGGTGAGTCTGAATTTGGGTTGGTCTTCCCCTACTGCCACCATGGGCCTAAATTTGAGAAGACACAGGTGTAAAAAATAGTGGATAAGAGCAATAATAATAGCTAACATTTCATAGGTAGCATTTGGCATGTGTCAGGCACAGTGCCAAGGTCTGGTCGTGTGTGTGAGCCCATGGGATCACCATGTGTACCCCACTATAAGGATGTGGTAGTATATTCACTTCCTGTGGCTACCATAACAAATTACCATAAATTGGGTGGCTTAAAATAACAGAAATGCACTCTCTCACTGTTTTGGAGGGCAGAAGTCTAAGATCAAGGTGTTTGCAGCTCACTACCTTGCCCACCTCTTTTCTTTCTGAAGGCTCTGGGGGTGGGGTGGGGAGATGGAATCCATTTCATGCTTCTCTCCTAGATTCTGGGGGCTGCCCTACAGTCTTTGGAATTTTTTGGCTTATAGATACATCACTCCAGTCTCTTCCTCTGTCATCATTTGGCCCTCTCTTCTCTTCTTTTCTAAAGGACACTTGTGATCTCATTTCAAGACCCTTACCTTAATTGTATCTACAAAGACGCTTTTTCCAAATAAGATCACAAGTTCAAGGGATTAGGACCGGGACATCTTTTTCGGGGAGCACTCTTTACCCCACCATAGGCAATAAGGTACTTATCTGAGGCCACACACATCAGTATACTGTGAGAACAGATCTAAGCCTCATCTGTCAGACATGGCACACCAAGCTCTTGAACTCAGCACCTAGTCACAGGAAAATGAAACTGTTGTGTTTAATGCTAGACCTTTCCAAACATCTAATGACCAATGTACATTGTGAAGTTCCTAGACTGGACTTAGCATGTAGCATTTCTCAAACTTTTTTTGTTGACGAGATTTTTTTCCTCCAGAACCAATTAACAATGTATTCAATTCTAAAAAGACACAAAACACAGAAGAGCTTACAACAACAAAAAATCCTATTCCCAGTGAGGCATCACTTTCTAGAGACCAACACTGCTCTGATTTTAGTTGTCTTGGTAGTTACTGCCATAAATGAATTATATGATATATACATATATATATATATAT